CCTTAGGATCACATCTCTGCTTTTTGCAGATGATGTGGTCCTACTGATTTCATCAAATCCTGATCTCCAGCTCTCACTAGAGCGGTTCACAGCTGAGTGTGAAGGAGCCAGGATGAGAATCAGTGCCTCCAAATCCGAGACCATGGTCTTGAGCCGGAAAAGGGTAGGGTGCCTTCTCCGGTCAGGGAAAAATGGAGCGGGAGATCGACAGGTGGATTGGTGCTGCGTCTGCAGTAGGGTTGGGCATAATCGTATCGTGTACTATTTATCGTCAGAAAAACATTAACCGATTACTTTTTGGCACTTGACGACTAATACGATTAATGCCACCGGGCAGACTGACTGGAGATTACTCTGGTCAGTCTGCTCAGTGCTCTTTTCCGCTTCAAATATGATGAACATTAAAAATAAAGTTCTGTAATTTATTTATCTATCAACACAATTTAAAATATGACGTATAGCCTGAAATCTGTAATTTTCACACAGTTTGGAACAATTTCTTATAAAGAGCAAATCTTTCCCACTGAACTGGTCATGTGACTACAAAATAAGGATGTCCAGGGACTCCAGGGGATTAATTGTCAAATTAATCGTTATCGGCTAAATACCACAATTAATCATGATTAATTTTTTGGCCAATATTGCCCAACCCTAGTCTGCAGTGATGCAGGTGCTGTACCGGTCCATCGTGGTGAAGCGAGAGCTGAGCCAGAAGCCGAACCTCTTGATATACTGGTCGGTCTACGTTCCTACCCTCATCTATGGTCACGGGCTTTGGGTAGTGACCGAAACAACGAGGTTGTGGATACAAGCGGCCAAAATGAGTTTCCTCTGCAGGGTGTCTGGGCTCTCTCTTGCCCAGGATTCCCTCAGAGGAGCTAGCCCAAGTGGCCCACGACCCGACCCTGTATAAGCAGACGAAGATGGATGGATGAATTTTTTTAAAGAATTCCTTTAAAGAATTCCTTAATAACTGTTTGGTTAACATTAGTAACTATTCATGTTCTGACAATCTGAAATGTAACAATTTCGCAATGGGAACATGTTACTGCAGAATTGATGGGAAACTGGTCCACCATTGAGCAGAACTGAACAGACATGAACCGAATACAGTGAGACTCGACAATGAAGACAGGACTTCATTAAGTGTCCCCTCTGAGTAACGTGACCAAATGCCCCTTGTGACTAGGGTAACCAGGTGTCCCTTCGGTCCCCTTTTAGTAGGGTAACCAAGTGTCCTATCTGTCCTCTCTAAATAGGGTGACCAGGAGCTGTCCCACATTTAGCAGGACTGCACAGCTGTTTCACATCTTGTCTTCTGTCTCACAAACTGCATCACTGTCCATATTTTGATTGGTTCATTGATTTATTGATGCACCAAAAGCACTTTACTGATACTCGTCTTGTATTCAGTGACAGAGAGGACAGCAGTGAGGATTCTCAGAACAGAGGCTGTGATTGACTGGTGTCAATCAAACTGAGCCCACCTGGAGTGAGGAGCAGGTGAATGTGTCATTGTAATTGCTGCCTAAAGCTCCACCCAGCAGGAGAAATACAGAAGAAAACATGCTTCTGTTAAGAGTTACAAAAATAACAGAGTAGGAAATGTTGCTCACATTTTGCTGCCCCTGTTTTGGTTTGCATTAATTGTTGTTTTTTTTGGCACAATTTCAAAGGTGCAGTGGTTAGATTTAGGTTTAAGGCTTCACCTGTCCAGTGTCCACTAAGGTATTTTGTGGATCGTAGTGGACGAGCTCCTACAGCCCAGATATCTGAGGCCGTGCTGCTGTACACACCTCCTCCATCCAAAATAGTTTCACAGAAATTATAACTGACAAAAAAAGACTGCAAACTGCTAGAAGAAGGAAAAACAATAAATGACCTTTTTTTTAAGTTATACCATGAGGACACTTTCCGCTGACAACATTTGGATTATTCATCATTCAGAAGTAGAGATAGGATTTATGGCTCTTCGAAGAGATCCGGATCTTGTAAATATTTACGATGTGTAACCAAAAGTACCACATAACTTGTCAAGTCTGTTCTCAGCAGCTGCTGCAAATAAATGAGATGGATTGTGTGGGAGTCATGTGATGGAGTTTAAAATTGAATTATTTGGTTATTTACAAATCAAAACTGTTGAAACTTAAAGTAGCTACAAGTAGAAGCACTCGAAGAGCACTCACCTCCGCCAAGACCCTTTAAGTCAGGGAGGGGCATCTTAAATGATGGAAGGGGCCACCATTTTTTGTTGACACTACCAGAGGGTGACATAACGCTGCACACTTACCCAAATGTAATAAAACTGCCATTTAAAAAAATGCTTCTGTATGTATGTGTTTATTAACCAACATACAGTGCAGTAATTTAATATATTTCATGCTCAAATACAGGTTTAACAGTTGTACTCTTGTTTAATGTGAATACAAGACGTTTGAATCAAACAAAAAATAAAGAGTTTGCAGGTTCTGCTCAGCCTCGGCTCAGCCAACCCACGGGCCAAATCATCAGCCTAAAATACTCAGTTCTACCCGCTTGGAGCCACTGCTGAGGTGGTCCTGAAAGCACGGTTGGAACCGGAAATGGAGACACATTTGTCTGAGGCTGAACCGCATACATGCACGCCTGTGGAGAGGGGACTTAAGGGAGGACGTTTTGGACAACTATCCTACTCAAAGGGGACATATGGGACACCTTGGCTGTGTCCAAAATTCAGGGGCTGTGTCCTTCGAAGGACCCGGCCCACCCGGTCTAGGTGGGCCTGGTCCTTGGTTGACCGTGAAGACAGGAAAAACGTGGCTGTGAATTTGGTTGGTCTAGAATTCAGCTTTATTCCCGCCCTTACCCCGGCGTATGTCTTGTCACCTGAACGCTAAACAGAAGCAAAAAATAGATTGAAATTAGCAATAAATAAATAAAAATTAAAATATCAATATATTAGTAATATTATAAAATAACATACTGTAATTAGCTTAAAGCATAAAGCAATATTTGAAGAACTAAGGCACCATACAAGCTTGTTTATTTCGCTATACCAGCTCGTTTGATTTCTGACAAGAATAATATTAAAAACATGTCTATGAAAAGCATTAATAACACAACCGCTTTAAACGTTGAGCTTTTATATGGCCATATTTTTATTTAAAACTGTACTCCTTCCTTTCGCTTCGTCCACCACTAAAAGCAAAAAATAAAAAATCTCCAGTCAGCCAGTAATGCATCATGGGATAGGGTGGGCCCAGAAAGATTTCTCATTGTTTTGTAGCAGACAATATCCATAATTATTGATTAGTTTGTTGTTTTACCTGAAATGGTGATGTGACCTTTCCTCTTTTATCCACAATTTCCTCTCGAGCGGTTGCCTCATTTTCTCCTTTTACTCCTCGTCGTTCTTTTTTTAAATTTTTATTTTTATTTTGAAGCAGTTCTGAGGCACGGTGATGAAACGTCATGAAGCTGCTGATGCACGTTACTCAGCAGGTTGTTGGCTTACCAAAGAGTGAGTTCGTTGATGCCACCAACCCTGCTTAGCTGCACCAAGCCTTTCCTCTGCCTACATCCCCCAGAATGCCGAGCGGTTCTGGATCTGAGCTCAGAAAAATTACCAACATTCTTGTGGACAAATTTTCCATTGATTATGCATCTATCACAATATATTGTTCCTGAATTATTGCCCAGCCTAGTCACCCTACTCATAGGGGACAGATGGGACACCTGGTCACCTTACTTAGAGGGGACATATGGGACACTAACCCTAATCAAAGGGGACAGGACAGCAATCCTCTGCGATTTGACCCCGTTTCCCTCATGTAGACACTGAACCCCTTTAGCCTTTCTGTGAATGTGTGTATATGTTTGTGTTAAATGCAGTATTTATAAATGTGAAAATCAACCAGAAAATCAACCAGAATGCCACTTAGTATTACAATTGTCTGCGTTACACAACTTCAGAAGTGTTTCAAATGAGAGAAAGATCTTTGTTCTTTGAAGGAATGCATATCACCCCTCGACTTTCACGGCAGAGCTTTAAAATTATGTCATCCCAGAGATGTAGCTGTTCTGGTCAAACCTTGCAGCTCATCATGTGCTGTGAGATGTCCAGATCTGTTGGCCCTCAGAGCATGTGTTGAGGACGACTCTCAGCTACTACCACACCAGATTTCAGCTCAAAAGCTTAAACGCTGGCTGGGTTGTAGACATTTCTGTGTTTCCTAATGTCAGTTGGCTGTGGGGGCCATCTTTAATTGGGTTGGCTCCATAAGTTAAAGAGCTGTAGCTGCACATCCAGTGATTACTATCTGAGAGTTTCATTAAAATCCACGCACGTGTTATTGAGATATTTTACTAACAGACAGGCAAGACACATGGCCGGCCCTTGGCATAGACCGCGGGCGACAACCAGCCTAGGAGGGGAAACTGGATCGGTTCCCTGCTTCATGGGAGGCGCCTGTCTCCGGTTGTAGGAGCAGGGGGAGAGGGAGAAGGGACGGCGGAATTGATCCTCCGAACCTCGACCAGAACTGAACCAGGTTCGGATCCAGATGCATCCAGTGAAAACAGCAGGTTTCGGATGCTGGAAACCGCGATGAGACCGACAGGTGCAGCAGCAGCAGCAGCATCTTCTCCCCCACCCCCCAACAGCAGCAGCCAAACAGCTGCAATCACGATGTTCCCGTCAGAACCAGAACCGGACCGAGCAGCCGGAGCCCACAGCACAGCCTGACTCACACACAGAACATGTACATGTGTTATCAATGTTTTCTGGGAGAAAAGCCTGACACGCGCGGGGATAAGTGACATGCTAGCAGCTCAGCGCGGACACCGAACAGCACCGACAGCCTGGACTCGCGCTGCTGCTGCTGCCTTCAGTTCAGGCTCGTGCCGCCGACCGACCGTGCTTCTGCTCAGCGACAAGGACGGGAAAAAAAACATCACCTGCGTTTTCGGACTCACCTGTCCGCCATTTTCCCGACGCCTTTTAAAATCCCTCAACAATAAATCCCACAACGACACCCATGTTGGCCAAACCGCGATAGCCGCAGTCGCCCAGTCACTGGGTCCGCCCCATTTTGACGCCGGTGTGTGAAGAGGCGGCGTTAGCGCCCCGAAACAAGCGCGCGTCGGGCGGAGCTTGTGGCTCGTAGAATCACCACAACCTTTGAATTTAATGTCAAGTCGATTTGCCTCAATAAATCATCTAATGAAATAAAATTACAATTCATTTAATAAAATTACGATTATCATCAAATTTATTATTCAGATTATTTTCCTGGTCCTACATAAATATTAATATTTATAAAAGTCAGTCACAATGAAATCAAATCTCTCTGATCACAGTTCATCCCGCCAGCAAACGTTTTCTCATTTACCCAGGGGAAAAGATCCTCCCCCCGATTTACAACACTTCTTGTTGGGTCTTGCGTCGGAGAACCAATAAGGAGCGGACCCTCTATCTCCAGAGAAGCGTCAACAACGTAACATTCATACTTTCATAATAAAAGTCTCGGCAGGAGTCATAGCAATACAATTAATCTCACTCCTTTTTTTTTTATTCTTTACCATTTATAGTTTAAATTATTCCTCAGTGTCTTTCTCTTTGCCACTCTCCTGTAAAGCTCAGACTGCTGAAGAACCCGGAGGCGAGTTGCAACAGTTGTTTCAGCCTCTCCGGTCTCACCTGCTGAAGATTCATTGAGTGGTCTCATATGGAGGTGTCTTGGTGGTCTTGAAGTATCTTCTGATGATGAAAGTCCTCCCGGGTCTTCAAAATCTCAGCAGTGATGGAGTGCTTAAAGAAATGACTCTGAAGGCAAAAGTTAATCTTGAACAGTGAGATTTATTCAGAATAACAACCTAAACCAAGTGGTCTCCCCTTCTTACAACCTTCTACCACGCCCAGATGTAAACAAAGCAGGACCAACCTACATGCAATTCCTTCTATGGTAAAGGAGTTTTGAGACACACAAACATGTTTACCACTGAAAGCTGTTTTTTAACTAAAGAAGTAAGGATTACCTCATTTTTCTCATCCTTATAAGGAATTGCTGAGTCATTAATTTAAGAACAACTCCTGACTGAAACACAGTTCTGTAGGAAGACTCCACACACCTCAGTCTCTCTCACCATTCTTCTTGCTCAGTCTCTCAAACTATAAGGACAGCCTGACCTTGGTGGATTTGCACATGCCCCATATTTAATGAAGATTTAACAGAACCCCTGGGGGCGTTCAGGGCCAAATCCTTTTGAATCCACCCTGACTTGTACTTTTTAATAATCTTTTCTCTGACTTGATTTACCGGGCCATTTAATAAGGGCTGTCAGGTCCTTGTACGACCGGTGTCAGAGTCTGGTCCGCATTGCCGGCAGTAAGTCRGGCTCGTTTCCGGTGAGAGTTGGACTCCGCCAAGGCTGCCCTTTGTCACCGATTCTGTTCATWACTTTCATGGACAGAATTTCTAGGCGCAGCCGAGGTGTTGAGGGGATCCGCTTTGGTGGCCTTAGGATCGCATCTCTGCTTTTTGCGGATGATGTGGTCCTGTTGGCTTCATCGGAACGAGATCTGCAGCTCTCGCTGGAGCGGTTTGCGGACGAGTGCGAAGCGGCCGGGATGAGGCTCAGTGCCTCCAAATCCGAGGCCATGGTCTTGAGCCGGAAAAGGGYAGAGTGCCTTCTCCGGGTCAGCGGGGTCGTCCTGCCCCAAGTGGAGGAGTTTAAGTATCTGGGGATCTTGTTCACGAATGGGGGAAGAACGGAGCGGGAGATCGACAGGCGGATTGGCGCAGC